ATGTTATTATCGTTGGCCACGGGAATAATATGAACAAGATTGGTATGATACAATGTCTTCTATTTGCTGGACAAATGGTAGAAAAAGTGTGAATCTTTAATCTAATTCAGTCTGACTCAATTGAGTCGAATCAATTATTCAAATCTTTAAGATCTGATTCATTGAAATGAGCTAATGAATCCCTGATCGATCTTATAATGTAGGTTGATCCACTACACAGTATTTCACCATCTTAGATTATAAACCTTACCATTTTGCTGGAGTGCAGTGAGTGCACTATTCTGTGCTTCTGATTGGCTGTATTTACATTTATTTCGTGTTTCGAAATTTCTAATCACTGCAAATCTCAGTGTGCAATTTGCAGAGTGTTTTCAGCTGTTTATAGATTTACAACAGTGAGCTTATTTATGCTATGTTTGCATCAGCAGTGTGTCATATTCTCAGACAGCATGAAAAAAAATAATGGAAAAGTTTGCTGGAAACCTGCGATTCATAATTTTTTAAAAACAAAAGTGCATCACAATGCTCAGTGCAAGAGATCATGTTAACAAGCAGACTTTAAATTGCTTTATTTATTCATGACTGGTTGACTCTGCCGTATTACATGAATTTGTAATACGAGAAGAGATCTCGGTGTGATACAAGAGACACTGATGCCCTGTAGTGTTTCTACTCTGAATCCCACGACTGACCAATCAGAATCACACATTCCAGGGCAATGCATAGTAATTATGCTTACAGGGTACTTTAATAATTGAGTGAGGAAAAAAGGACTGTACATGAGATAAAAAATGTAATAAATAAAAAAAATATATCTATCTACGTTTTCACATAACCATACTGAGGTTTGGGCTATTCATCATATCAACTCCACGATAGCTGGAGATGTGCCCTGCTTGCTTTAAAGAGAATAAATAAGCTTGTATTAATATTGATGATCACATGTCTGCACAAGCAAAAAAAAAAAAAAAAAAAAAAAAAAAAAAAAAAAAATCAAAACCAGGCCACTTCTCAACCGCTTCTTAGATCTCTTTAAGCAGAAGAAGTGAGAAAACATCCCTTTAAACATGACAAACGCTTAAAAAGACAAATGAACAGACTGCACTGCGAACACCTGATAAAAACATAAAAGAAAAGGAGTGGGCTGATTGGGGGATTGAGGGAATGTCGTTAACAAAGCTGCTAATTATGTGCACAACGTCTGATTGAGAAACCAGACGACTGCTATCTTTTAGGGTGCTTTCACACCTAGATGTTTGTTTTGGGAACCTGCCCCCTCAGCTTGGTTCGTTTGAGTATATGTGAAACATGTAATCACATTCTGATCTGCGCCAAAACAATTGGTCTAAGATCGCCTAAATGAGGTCTCGTCTCTGTTAAAACGAGCTCTACAGCAGTTCAGTTGTAGTGAGAAAGCCAAACCAGGCTCATCAAGGACACGTACCCCTGTATACATTTTTGGAGAGTACCAAATACGTCCCAGGAGATACATTTTTTTGAAGTTTTGTTTTCACAAATCCACCAGAAGTCACTGTGTACACTTTTTCAGATCTCGAATTTCATTCGCAAGTGCCATTCGTGCCTGCTGTTTAAGCAGAAATCCACCAGAGGCCGCTATCAACTGGGTGATTGACCAACTGATATCCCCACGCACTTCCCTAAACCCAATCAATTGTTTTCAAAAGCACCAATTGACCCGATAACCCCTTTCCTAAACCCAACCAATAGTGTTTTCAAAAGCACAAATTGACCCGATAACCTTCTTCCCTACACCCAACCGATAGTGTTTTTAAAAAGAAACAATTGACCCAATAACCCCTTTCCTAAACCCAACCCATAGTGTTTTCAAAAGCACCAATTGATCCGATAACCTCCTTCCCTAAACCCAACCCATAGTGTTTTCAAAAGCACCAATTGACCCAATAAACCCCTTCCCTAAACCCAACCGATAGTGTTTTCAAAAGCACCAATTGACCCAATAAGCCCCTTCCCTAAACCCAACCGATAGTGTTTTCAAAAGCACCAATTGACCCAATAACCCCTTCCCTAAACCCAACCGATAGTGTTTTCAAAAGCACCAATTGACCCAATAACCCCCTTCCCTAAACCCAACCGATAGTGTTTTTAAAAGCAATCCAGAAGTCCTCTCGTCTGGTTTTACCACCTTTTCAGATCTTACCATGATTTCATCCTGTTATTTACTTGTTTATTTTATTTTTTGCCTTTTGTTTTTATTTTACCTGCTTTCTGGAACTGTTCTTCACTGAACTCAAACCCTGCCGTGGCAGTCAACTCCTCTCTGCATCTCAAGTCCGTCGACGTACGCAGCGAGCCACTCTACAAACTAATAACAGCAGAAAAGCTATCCACATGGAGCGCTCAGCTGGCAGCGTGAAAAGAAACAGAAGCCGTCAGCGGCATCATACCACTCCTTATCATTCGTATTAAAGACTAAATGCAGCCATATGTACCTCAAGCTACTTAATTTGCGCTCTCCAGAAATGTAGACGTGGGTACGTTCTCACAATGAGCCTGAGTTGGAAAAAACAATACGATCCAATGAACGAACAAACCAGGCTATATCTCTCATGATCACCAGCGATCTTGTGATCTCATTGGTAAACACAAACCTTCACTTGGACTACAGTTCTGTCAATTAACAAACTACAAATCCCATCATGCACTTCGTACACACTGGTTCCTGTTTCACTTTGATTACATGCACACACACACAGCCGGAGGATTGTTATGAACTGAATACATGGACTTTGAAAGCAGTCTTGTAAGCTGTCAAGTGAACAATATGACGCATTTCGCTTTCCCTAGTCTTGCTATGTATCGATCTTTGCTTTGTTTTATGTTGTTTGCCACTTAGATTGACCACTCGCCTGTTAATGACCACTCTTCTGGATTTGCCTGTATGTTACCGTTTGCCCCTGATTGTGCCCCCATTCTCCGTGTAATAGATCCTGCATTTAGATCTGCAAATCTTATTGCCCTGTGGGATGTTTTATTCATAAAGGTGAAACTGCTGCATCACCGTGACCTTCGGTGTCCTTGTCTAGGCCATTAATCGCAAGCTCCACACACTTACACAAACCTGTTTGTCTGTTTATTTGTTTGTTCGTTTGGGGACTGATGGCTCCATGCATGTATAAAAAAAGAAGGTGCATTTTGTTGGTCTGCCTTTGGGGTTTAATGCTGTCTTAGATTGATGTTGTTTGTGGTGAGGAGCAGGCACAGATGGGTAATGAGCAGCCGGCGTGACATTATGTACCGTTCAGAGTTGTGAATTGGTTTCTCTGAGCCGTGGCCACAAGATAAGCTTCTATCTCATTGTCTGAGACATCTTTAAGACTAAACAGGAGTCTGTCTGCGGACACAGGTAACGCACAGGCTAATGCACTTCAGTTCCGCCCGGTTAAAGTCACAATTATTAAAAATTTTTTCAAACATTTCCCAAATGATGTTTAGCAGGAATTTCCTTGAATATTTGTTCTTCTGGAGAAAGTCTTATTGGTTTTATTTCGGCAAGAAAAAAAGCAGTTTTTAATTGTTTTAAACCCATTTAAGGTCAATATTATTCGCTCCCTTAAGCAATATTTGTTTTGGATTGTCTACAGAAGAAACAACTGTTATACAACGACTTAATCAAAACATCTGGGATTAAGGGAGCTTTCACACTAGCACTTTTGGCCTGCACCCGGGTTTGTTTGACGTCAGAGTACTGTACGTTTAGCTAGTGTGAACGTGTCTTCTGAACTTGGTTGCGCATCAGTTCTCTTGCTGTCGTTTACTTGTAAATTTTGCCTTTCATTTTTGTTTTACCTGCTTTTTAGAGACCAGACGTATGAAGCAAGCCACTGGACAAACTGGTAACAGCGGAAAAGCCGTCCACACGGAGCACTCAGATAGTAGCATGAAAAGAAACAAAAGCCGTCAGCAGCATCATACCGCCCCGTATCGTTCACATTAAAGACGAAATGCAGTCATTAGTACCTCTAGCTACCTAATTCGCGCTCTCCAGAAATACGTAATGCATACGGATTTACTTTTCAACATGTGCATAATCTACAATGGAAACACATTTAAAGGGCACCTATGTAGAAAATGAGTGTAGGTATAGTGTGTCCACAGTCATATTGGGTTCATAGTAACGCAATGAGTCTCCTTTTTTAATTTCCCGATATTAAAATAGAATCCAAATCCCTCTTATTTTGAGCCCACTGCAACGTAGGAATGTGGTTTCCCCACCCACCGAATTGATTGACAGCCGTGTATTAACATGTCTCTATTGTAATGCGTATAATCATATCAACAAGACAGGACGAGTGCAAAACAACTGGGATTAAGGGAGCTTTCACACAAGCACTTTTGGTTTATTTGACGTCAGAGTACGGCACGTTTAGCTAGTGTGAACGTGTCTTCTGAACTGGGGTGCGCACTCGTGAACCATAGCCGAGTCTGCCTGAAGAAGGTGGTCTGGGGTATGGTTCGTGTAAACTCTGGTCCTGTTCACAATAACGGAAGTGAACTGTCAACTGTACAACAAACTATTGTGTGTACCACACACTGTACCTTGGTGACAAGCAGAACTAAGGCAGGGCAATCACAGTGATAATGTCTGCTTTTCTCCTCCAAAAACAGCTTCTGTGACACATGTTTTACATAGAGGATGCGCTTCCAGCTGCAACCCAGATCTGGGAAACACCCATACACACTCATTCACACACACCACAGTCAGTTTAGTCCATCAAATCCCCTATAGCGCATGTGTTTGGACTGTGGGGGAAATCGGAGCCCCCGGAGGAAACCCTCGCCAATATGGTGAGAACATGCAAACTCCATACAGAAATGCCAACTGATCCAGCCTAGACTCGAACCAGCATCCTTCTTGCTATGAGAGCCAAGTGCTAACCAGTGAGCCACCCAAATATGTTATCATAATTATAAAATACTGCAGCAGTTGCTCGTGGGTGATCTAGAAAGATCTGACTTACAGCTCCCGAACTTCAGCGGGCAGGCGTGGGCGTCCATGGGAAAATCCTCCAGATGCATTGGACACTCAGCATGGATGGTTAATCTGTATAGAGAAGAACAGACATGCAGAGGTTTCAAAACAGTGTTTGCAAGCTATCTTTGGGTTCAAAATGTGCTGTATTTCAGAGTGAAACTAGATGTAGACAATGTACTAGAGTGAATGTATTGATCAGATCAAATATGCTGTATTTCAGAGTAAAACAAGATGTAGACAATGTACTAGAGTGAATGTATTGATTAGATCTAGAACATCCAAACTAACAAAGAACAAATATAAGATATACGCCTATAGTTGGGTTTAAAATGTGCTGTATTTCAGAGTGAAACTAGATATTCAGCTGCAGAACTAATGTAAATGTATCATGATATCAGTCATATGCTGAATATTAAATGTCCTCGTAGGGTTGGCATCATCTCTTCATAAGTCTTATTCAATATGCATGTGTGCAATGGGTTTTAAGGTTGTAGAGAAAGTGTCTGAGAGTTCACGAATTGTCTTGTCGGTGTCATATACTGAACATGTCAGCGCTACACGAGCTATATCTTGAGCACAGGTCGGCCGAGGAGTGACTGCACCATATGTTTGAGATCTGGACACAAGGTTAGGGCTCACGCTGGCAGTATTCACAGCAGAAGTCCAAATCGAGAAGGTGACAGCATTTGATGACTTTCAATTCATTTTATTAATTAATTTTTCTTCGGCTTAGTCCCTTATTTATCAGGGGTTGCAACGGCGGAATGAACCGCCAACTATTCCAGCATATGTTTTACACAGCGAACGCTCTTCCAGCTGCAACCCAGTACTGGGAAACACCCATACACACTCACATTCATATGATACAATCAATTAGTTTTGTTTTTTCAAATTTGGGTTTTTTAATGTGCCGTTCTGGGGGGCACGGTGGCTCAGTGGTTACTTCACAGCAATTTGCTGGTTCAAGTCCCGGCTGGACCAGTTGGTGTTCTTTGGGGAGTTTGCATGTTCTCCTCGTGTTGCTGTGGGTTTCCTCCGGGTGCTCCGGTTTCACCCACAGTCCAAACACATGCACTATAGGGGAATTGATTAACTAAATTGTCCGTAGTGTATGAGTGTGTGTGTGTGTGATTGCAAGAGTGTATGGGTGTTTTCCATCACTGGAAGGACGTCTGTTGTGTAAAACATATGCTAGAGTAGCTTCCTTGAAACAAGCAAAATAATCCGTCAACAAGGTAATCAATATAGCAGTTTTTGCAGTGCAAATAAAGCTCCTATTTATTAACAAGTATTCATATGAAATAAATATACTAATAGTGCACTTGAATAAACTTTTTGTAAGGGGAGGCAAACGATGTTGACAGCACAGTAAACATCTACAGTATTAATAACTCATTAGTTCGCTAGTAGAGGCTTCAACATCTAAAATGTGTGTCAGATAGGAGAGGCACACAATGAGCTGGCCCAGATGATGCCTGCTGAAGAGGAAAATCTCTGAAACGCACAGCAAGTTATTGCACTTTAATGAACGATTATCAATATTTGATATCTTCATTTTTACCCCGGACTAACATGAGAAGACAAATTGTTCTCAGGGAGACCAGACGCATGTATTGGGAAAGTAAACAACACTGATTAGATTTCATGTTGATTTCTAAAAAGACGATTAGCAACGATAAAGGATGGCTGAACCGGACGCTAGTTTATCGCTTTCATTTAATTCACTGAGGAATGTTGGGTAATAATTCACCGCGTCTTAAGATGGAAGACAGGACAGAGCAATCGAACAGAGCATGAGTGTTAATTACTGAGATAAATGAAGAAGGGATACCCGGCTTGAAGAAGAGATTATTTAACTTCACTGAGGTTTTTGAGACGGAGACGAGTGTTCTTGTGAACAACATACTGTGTTTGTGTTTGTTTGTCTTGTATTGCCTACATTGTGGTTACAAACTGTGCCGGCAAGTATAGCAATACCAGTATATTTTTACTTTGTGTGGGCTTTTTTTGTTGGTGTGTGTGTGTATGTGTACTTTATTTCCCTTATTTTGTGGTTCCCAAATGTCCCCACAAGTATAGCAATACCAGTACAACATACAGTGTGTGTTTGTGTGTGTCTTTGTGTATACCATGCATTCCCTTGTATTGTGGTTACCAAATGTTCTCACAAGTATAGCAATACCAGTACATTTTGACTGTGCAAACATTTTTTGGTGTGTGTGTGTGTGTGTGTGTGTGTGTGTGTGTGTGTGTGTGTGTGTGTTTGTACCTTTTATTTCTTATATTGTGGTAACAGAATGTCCCCAAAAGTATAGCAATACCAGTATATTTAGACTTTGTAAGGAAAGTTTTTTTTAGGTGTGTGTGTGTGTGTACATTGGATTCCTTATATTGTGGTTACCAATTGTCCCCACAAGTATAGTAATATCAGGGGTAGCAGTACCCCTTAAGGCCATATATTAAGTGTTTTTACATTGTAAAAACAATATGCCCATGGAGAGTCTTCGTAAACCACAAATTCCAACATATGTGTGTGTGTGTTTGTACCTTTAATTTCTTACATTGTGGTAACCGAATGTCCTCACAAGTATAGCAATGGCAGCACATTTAGACTTTGTGTGGACAGTATTTTATGTGTGTACATTGAATTTCTTATATTGTGGTTACCAAATGTCCCAAGTATAGCAATACCAGTATATTGTGTGTGTGTGTGTGTGTGTGTGTGTGTGTGTGTGTGTGTGTGTGTGTGTGGTTTGTGTGGTTCAGACATAGATTTGTGTAATGACATGGGGAGGATCTAGGTATAACAACACTGGGGTGGTTTACGAGGACAAGTCTTGTGTCCTTGCAATTCAAAATAAAAAAAAGAAAAGAAAACAGTTAAAAGAAAAAAAAAACAATGGCATATTTTAAAATTTAAGTTTTGTCAAGTTACCTGTGAGTGTTTAGGGGTGGGGGTGGGGGTGGGGGGATTAAGGTCATATAATAAGTGATTTTACATTACAAAATACATTTTGCCTATGGAGAGTCCCTGTAAACCAGCAATACCATCATGTGTGTGTATTTTTACCTTTTTTTCTTACATTGTAGTAACAATGTCCCCACAAGTATAGCAATACTAGTACATTTAGACTTTGTGTGGACAGTTGTGTGTGTCTGTGTGTGTGTACATTGAATTCCTTATATTGTGGTTACCAAATGTGCCCACAAGTATAGCAATACCAGTATAGTGTGTGTGTGTGTGTGTGTGTGTGTGTGTGTGTATGTGTGTGTGTGTGTGTGCAGTTCATGTGGTTCAACTATATATTTCTATAATGACATGGGGATGATCTAGGTATTACAACACTGGGGTGGTTACGAGGACATATATTGTGTCCTTGTAATTCAAAATAATAAAAGAAAACAACTTAAAAGAATAACAATGGCGTACTTTGATATTTAAGTTTTGTAAAGTGACCTGTAAGTGTTGGGTTTAGGGCTAGGGGTGGGTTAAGGCCATATAATAAGTGTTTTTACATTATAAAAACAATATGGCCATGGAGAGTCCCCGTAAACCAGTAATACCATCATGTGTGTGAGTGTGTGTTTGTACCTTTTATTTCTTACATTGTGGTAACCGAATGTCCTCACAAGTATAGCAATGCCAGTACATTTAGACTTTGTGCGGACAGTATTTTATGTGTGTACATTGAATTCCTTATATTGTGGTTACCAAATGTCCCACAAGTATAGCACTACCAGTATATCGTGTGCATGTGTGCAGTTTGTGTGGTTCAGACATAGATTTGAATAATGACATGGGGATGATCTAGGTATTACAACACTGGGGTGGTTTACGAGGACAAGTCTTGTGTCCTTGTAATTCAAAATAAATAAATAACAATTTTAAAAATGTCCATTAATATCTATGTTTTGCAGGTAGGGGTGGGTTAAGGCCATATAATAAGTGTTTTACATTATGAAACACATTATGGCTGTGGAGAGTCCCGTAAACCACCAATACCAACATGTGTGTGAGCGCTGCATTGAATTAGCTGAGTCACAAGCTGACAGCCAGTGTGGCGTTGTGGGTAAATTGACCTATAAATAGATCCTTGCAGCTTTTAATTAGTGCGTATCAGGGCCTGATGCATCGAGGTGAATCAAAGTCATTGCTCAGACAGTTTAATGGCTGCAAGGTGCTTCTTGTTCACGTCTGCGGGGAACCACAGGTGCTCCTGTAATTCATCCTGTTCTTCTGTCCGCAGATTGATGCAGCACCGCCTGAATCCGCTCAGATCCTCCTTGACTCTCTCTGCAAGGCCATGGCTGTGAAACCGGAGGCAGCATTTGTGTCCAGACGATCTACAGCTCTCAGAAGGATGTGACATTTTTTTTCCAGAAGAGGACAGCGGGGAGAGCGTGTGTCTGTGCATTTCTGAACGCAGTCTACTGTGGACGAGTGTGTGACGACTTTAAAGGTCACTACATTAGAAGTGTCGAAAGATTTAAATGTGTTTTAAATGTGCAAGGGAAATGTACAACTTAGGGCGCTTTCAAACACCCGGCAAAATGTGACAAGTGTTTCTTTTTTTTTTTTGCTATTTTTTAATTTTAGCATCCTGCACTGTTTATTTAAATAGAAAATTGCACACATTTGGGCTCTGGAAATGATGATAGTTCTTTCACATTATTAGCGCATTGCTATTTTGAGCCACTGACAAACTGAAACCCAGACAAAAGTGCAGTATTTGCATTTATTTATTATTTATTTATTTATTTATTTATTTATTTATTTATTTATTTATTTATTTATTTATTTATTTATTTATTTATTTATTGTTGTTTAAATTATTATTAATAATGTTATTATTATTATTATTATTATTATTATTATTACTATAATAATAATAATAATAATAATAATAATAATAATAATAATAATAATAATAATTATTATTATTATTAATATAACTATTACTATTATTATTATTATTATTATTATTATTATTATTGTCATTGTTATTATTATTATTGTTATTATTATTATTATTATTGTAATTATTACTTTTGCTATTATTATTATTATA